CGCGGAGGCCCGTCGGGGTAAACGGCGCCGTCCTCGCGACGCTCTCCACGTAGCGGGAGCGGACCGGGAAGCAGACGTTGCCGGTGTAGAGCTCCATCGTCGGCTTGGAGATCCCCATCCAGCGGCTGGGGAGGTAGCAGGTGGCCTCGAGCCCCCCGTGCGGGCTATCCCAGCAGGCCCCGAGAAAGTCCGTCTGATAGGGAATTTGCCAGGGCTGCTCCTTCGCATTCCCACTTCCCATTAAGCCTAAAATGAATTCCTGCGGAAATCCCTTTCACAGAATGTCTTCTCTATAGTGAATAAATGATGATACTGTTACTTTGGTGCACTCCATCCCAGAAGGAATCCGCCAAAGAGTATGATATTACTATGTTTTGTTTTTTACCATTATAGTATATGGGTGCGTAAATATATATATATATATATATATATCACACAGCGAAATAGAATCTGTGAATTGTGAAATCTAAATGACAGCCATTCAACACAACATACACTAGCAGCGGGAGTTTTTATATATCTAGCAATATATTGTATCTGAAAGGCAGAAAGCTGCGGCATCAGGGTGGATAAATTTAGTGGAGTAACCCTCAGGTAAGAAACACATTTGTCAATTAACCGCTCAAACGTTCAGCTACCAGAATCGGCGGCCCACTTCTTATTCCTCCCAGAGGAGAAGCTGTTTAGAAGACATGGGGATGCAACCTTAATCCCAACCAACGGGCAATCATCAAGTATGGCATCCCTTCGTTTGCCGTATTCAGCTAAAAGCGCACTACACCGAAGGGCGCACAGTATTGGAAATCTTGAGGAGTTCTTCGAAGCCGTGCACACTATTACCTCCCGTCTCTGGGCTAGGAAAGTCAATGTAGCGCACGCACGAGCCACGAATCACCACCTGACTAACACACCGAAACGCAATCGGCGAATCCTCCTCGACACACGAGGTCCGCCCCCCTTCCATGACTTCGCTCTTCACTTTTTTAGGGCTCGGCTCCTCTGGACAGTTTGCGTTCGTCTTACCATCAAACCGACGCTTTACACTGGTATGGGTTACTGAGTCTAGTTTGATATTCATGGTGAAAGGATCGATCTCGCAGATATGCCCCGTGATAACGGCGCCGTTAGTGAGCTCCACGCTTGCGAAGGGACGTGACATCACCGTAGTACGTGCTAGCTCGCTCGGGATCGTTTTCACGAAGGGCACCTCCGCGGATTTCATGACATCCGGAGCGATCGCTAATGACTCCGTTTGCATCGCATGCATCCTTGTTTGTAAAAACCACCACCTTCTATTCAAAGTAAAGAAAGCGCTTTGTATCTCAGGATTATCGAACGTGGTGTACCATAATGATAGACCAACGAAAAATGAGATACATAAATCCACAAAAAAAAAAGGAAAGAAGGAAACTTGACACATACACCAAAGATCCATCAGACATTGCGCCTCCTGTGCATTATCAGCGATTCACTCCATTCACTTTGGATTTTTTGTTCCACTGAATCGCTTCCCTGGGCCGCTTCTATATAAAAAGGATACCTTCTTTTCGTGAAAGCATTTCCAGCACTATGAGCGACTCTATTGTTTTCATGTCACATAGCCAGGTAGAATAATAAAGCAAATCGTTTCACATAAGGCGGCTAAGTACCTTGTTCAACCAGGCGCAAATCACATTCCACGAAGACGGATAACAGGCGTTTGATTTACATCGTTCTCCCTCCCCCCCCTCCCCATATGCTATGGTCAGTATTTTTTTTTTGCTTTACATCTCCCTCTTCGACACAAATAATACTAATCGAACCTTCTCACTCGTTTCGAGCAAGATTTCCGCTTGTGTGAGTTTCCCCCTCGAAATATGACCTCCCTACCGGCGTCAACTTTTAAGCAGGATGTGGGGATGATGATCACACCCTCGTGGAGGACCGACATTGATGTTTTGTTTTTCCTTCCTCTTCCATAAGCATCGATCGAACACCCCTTTACGGTCCTGTCAATCACGCTACGAGGCATTGCGTTATGAGGTCCTCGAGCTTCGTCTCCAAAGGGGTGAGCGGGCTAGGGAAGAGGATGGAGTACTCCGCGAGGGCGCATAACAGGTCGAGAAATTCACTAAAGAACAGCACCTCGCCCTCCCGCCCGGGGTCCGCCAGGACCCAATGGAAGCACTCTTCCAGGACCTTATCGATGTTATACGCCGGATCGGCCGATCGGTTCAACCGAAGGCAGCGCTCCCATCGCAGCTCCCTCGCCATATTCTTGACGTCAGCGAGCTGCAACACGAGGATGATCCCGATATCACACGTCCCCAAGGTCCGCCGCTGCGATGACGAGAAGGAGGAGGAGGTGGAGGAGGGCGGCACGTGCTCCTCCGGGGCGGCTCTCGCCCACCCCCCGCGCTCCCCCTCCCAGCAGAAAACGGCGAAGGCGTTGGGGAGGAGGGCCGAGGCGACCCCGTCCGCCTCCCGCGGCTTCGCATGCCGAACAAACACCCGAAACAACCCCTCCTGCTGTCGCGCGAGGCAGAGCTGCACGGCGGGCCGACGGATCCCCCGTCGGAAGCGCGCGTACGGCCCCTCGCTCAACGGGCGGAGCTGCACGAGGGGGATCAGCTCCTCCCCCCAAATCCCCTCCAGCCCTTCCAAGGAAAGAGGGGAGAGCTCGTCGTCGTTGCCGTGTGGGGAGCGGCCGCCGTAGCGCACGCGAGTGGCATTCCCCGTGCGAGAGAGCCGAATCGACCCCCCCTCCCCCTCCATCATCCGCTCAACCGAGTCCTCGGAGCGGTGGCTGATGCACCGGCTGGAGGTGGAGCCCTGGCGGAGGAAGGGGCGCCCCGCGTTGGAGCCCCCGCCGTACGAGCCCGGCTTCAGGCTGAGGGGGTTGGAATCCTGCCCGGTGGATTTGCTCGCGTGGTCGACGTGGAAGACGCCGTCGGGGTTGGCGCGGGTTAAATCCGCGCTCCCCTCTCCCTCGCCTCCTGCGGCCTCGGAGCCCCGGACCGTATCCTCTAAAGGGCAAAAACGCGTGTGGGAATCGCGAATCGACTGCAAGGCGTGCGTGCACCGCACCAGGGCCTCGCAGAATTGCTCAAAATTCATACACAGCGTCCCTCGGTTGGTCTGGCGTAGATCGACGTGGTGCTGACCGGACTGGATCGCGTTGGCGTAGTTCGCCAGCATCGTCGTTTTGGTTTGGAAGCCGCGGTTGGCCGGGGCGTCCTTCGACTCGGCGGCGCTCAGGCAGACGAGCACGCCGCGCGGTGGCGCGAGCAACGCCTCATCGGAGCCCGGCGTGCCTTTTGACAGGACCGAGGTGGGGGATTGCGTGAAGTCCTCAAGGGACTCCGAGACCCCGGAAAGCCTGCTCGGCGACGTATCCACGCAGTTCTGCAGCACCACCCGTTCCACGATGCTCGTCACGCTTAGGCGATCCAGCGAAGGGGCGAATAAATCGCCGCTGTCGGGGGCGTTTAGGCGTTTTTTGGACCCCTCCCGTGCGCGCATGCTGCCGCCGGCGAGGCCGCCATCACACAGAAGGTGCCAGAAGCCGTTCAGCGTCAGGTAGCGGTCTTCCACTTTCGGGGCCTCCCTCGCCTTGCCCCCACCCGATGCCTCCTCGGCGAGGCCGTGCGGCGTCAGGCCGTCGTAGATCGCGAGATCCCCCTCAAGATCTCGTGTGGCGCACGAGTACAGCTTGAAGAGATGCCAGAGGTGAATGAAAAAGCCTTTGATGATGCCCAGAAAGTGGATATAGCGCTGCAGGGTCTGCTCCGATGAGGATTTGTTGCGCGCGGAGGAGGCTCGGGCCATCGAAAGCGCCACGTTCCGACTATCATGGAGCACCGGCGCGGCGGGTGGGTGAAAGATGTACGAGAGCTTGGCAAAAGAAAGGGCCTGCATGAGTTTGGCGGCCCGCTCTTGATATTCCAAAGGGACCGCTTCTATTTCCGCGGTGGTGCGGCGGCTGTAGCATTTCGCGGCGGACCGAAGGCTCACCAGCGTCTGGCCTTCCATGAGGTTTCGTTGGTTGGGGTTGTCCAGCTCCGTGGTGGAGAGGTTCCGACTCATCGCGAGATCCACCGCGACGTGCAGGGCGCTGAAGGAGAAGGCGACCCACCGCTGCTGCTGAAGCACGCGGCCGAACCAGGTGAGATGGGTCGAAAGCGGGTGCTTCCACTCCTGATATCGCCAGTGATGGCGGCCCTGGTGCATGAGCCGCGAGGACGACATCAACTCCCCGGCGTCGAAGCTCGCCCGATAGAAGACGCTGTTCGAGGAGCTCGCGGAGACGTTGTTTTGCGTGCGAGGAGCCCACCAGTTCGTGTAATACCGCAGCAAACCCGCCAAGAGCACCAACAACGCCCGTCGATCGCGCTGGAGGAGTTGATCAAGGGTCACCACGCAGGTCGTGTTCGTCAGACGCTCATAGGTATTCAACACAATCGTACACGCCGTCTTCGCCTGCGTGCATAACTCCGGCGTCAGAAGCGCCAACAGCGTCCCCTCCGTTTCGTACGAATTCCAACTCGTATTCGGCGGCGATTCGACGCCCGCGTCGCTGGCGAACTCGACGTCCTTCTCGCCGTCGCTGCCGCTCCCGTGGGCGGGGCCGAGTTTCGCCCGCAAAGCCGCCACCACCGCCGCGTCGGCGGCCCGCACCTGCGCCTCGAGTTTCCTCTCCTCCGAGGTATCTGGGGAGGTGGCGGGGGGGGGAGCGGAGTCGTCGCCCCCCGCCTCCAAGGGTGGGATCTCCGTCGGGATCGCAGGGGCGACCACCGTGCTCATGGAATCGGATTCCGTCCCCGCCATCGGGCGTCGCTCCGGGCCGGCGAGCGAGCTCGTCTCCTTCAGCTGCTGCGGCGCGAAACAAATCCGCATCAGCCGCATAAAATGGTTATAGGTGATCAACGAAACCGGGGGGATCGCCGACGCCGTCGTGGCGGGGTCGCCTTCCACCGTCGACGACCCCAAAGGGTCCTTTCGACTCCGCGCGATGTACTCCTCGAGGAGGGGGTGGCAGTGGAGGAGGTCGTCGAAGACCCCTGGGGCGGTTTTGTGGTAGCCACTCCAGAACCCGTCTTGGAGGTCGTCGCCCGAGGCGAGGGTGGAGGTTTCGTTGAGGGCCATCGCCCCTTCGTCTTCTTCTTCTTTATCCTTTCGATCCTCGTTGAGGTCGAGCGGGATGGGTTTTTCATCCACGCTGGTTTCGCCGCCGTTCGCCATCGTCACCATCGTGTTCGCCCATTGAACGAGGTGAATCATCACCTGCAGCGGGGTCGCCCCGGCATCGGGGCACCTCGCCTCCATCGGAATCGACGCGCTACAGAGGTTGCCCTCGATGAGCATCGTTCCAATCTGATCGAGGTCGTTCACCTGCTCAATCCGCTCCTTGTATTGATTCTCAAGCTCCAAGAGGGCGGCCTCCATCACCTGACGGTTTTTTTCAATCTTCGTCATGGAGTCGCTGAGGTTTCGGCTCACCTCGCGCAGGGACTCCGCCTCCGCCTGCATGCGTTGAATCGCCTCGCGTTTTTCGACGATGATTGCCATCGTGACGTTCTCCGTTTCGGAGCGGCGGAGCATGTAAACCGCGCAGGTTCGCCAGTTTCGGATGCAAAACCGCAGCTGCTCGCCGGAGAGCCGCTTTGCCCATCGGGAGCGGTGCTGGCGTTGAAGCCGCTGCAGCTCCTGCACGGCGGCATGCCAGGCCTGCATCACAATCCGCAGCATCGACTTCGCCCAGCTTTTGTTCGCCATGTGAATCAGCGGGAGGAGCTTATGCGAGAAGTGGATCTGCTGGTGGCGTAGCCTGTGCGCGGCGAGGACGACGCGGCGCGAGAGCATCCGGAGGGCCTCCATGTACGTCAGCTGCTCCTGCTTCTTCCGCACGGCGAGCTCCATCCGCGTGGCGAGCTTGTTCCCGCCCGGCTCCGCCTTTATCAGGACCTCCCCCCCCCCATTCCCGCCGTCGTTCTCCCGGCGGCGCTCCAAGGGGCTCTGCGGCGACCCCTCAACGATGAGCACCGGCAGGTGCAGCACAAACGAGCTGTTCTGCGACG